CATAAAGTATATTTAGAGAAGACAAACTCTACAGTAGGTATGCAAAACAACTGTGCAACCCCTGTGGATGGGATGCTACACCGTGTCCCTGACGAGGCAGAATTTGGCCATACTGGTCACATTGTGTAGGAGTAGAGGTGAGCTGTTCCAGGAAGGGAAAGGGATGGAATCATGCTTGTAAAGCTCAACCCCTTCCTGTGACAAGATCCTACCAAAATCTGGGGGGATGGTCTGAGGGAAAGGGTCTGCAGTGAAAAAGGAGAAGAAACAAGTAATATAAGTAACTGTGTTACTAGCCCCAGACACCAACCACCACACTAACCCCAGGGAAAATAAACAGGACAGAATCCCTGACACAGCCCATGTGCTGTACACAGTATACCTCAGTAGGGTATACAGTAAAAATTCGAACGTACAAAATCGATTTCAGAAATTTTGATAGACTTTCCTATCATTGATGGAGTCAAATTGTTGATTGATTTTGACCGTAGTGATGAACTTTTTTTTTTTTAAGAGCATGTTGTAATTTTTTTTCTAGATTGAATGAAATTCTGAAAGTGAATGTGGTTTTCGTTCGGGGAAACTCTATGATAACAGCGTGGCTCCGAAGTAGAATAGTCCGGGTGCTTAACTAGCTTGCCTGCTGTCCATACCTTTTACCAATAGAAAATATTTGGCGCATCTTAAAATGAAAAATACGTCAAAGATTACCCAGGGCTGTTGAGCAGTTTGAATCCTATATCAGGCAAGAAAGGGGCAACATTCCTCTCCCAAAAGTCCAGCAAATGGTCTCCTCAGTTCCCAGACATTTAAAGAGTGTTGTTAAAAGAAGAAAAGGGATGCTACACCTAGACTCTTGTTTGGACAGATTTAGGTGAGTTATTCCTGAGATTTACAGGCCTACAATAGGACACAAGGCACACGCCGTACACATGTAAAGTACAGAACCCCAGCTGGAGGTCCCCAAGTTACCCTATATAGGGAGGTGACTCCAGCATGGACTAGCACTGACTTGCCTGACCATCAACGTAGCATCATCCAGGCAGAGCAGCGCTGTCATTTAAAGTGGACATAGCCCACCCTGAAGGGTAAACTGCCCCTCCCCCTCAGTCCAATCCTCCCAAAGTGTCCAATCCTCCTGTAGGCAGCAGTATAAATAGAAGGTGGAAGACTGTCCTTCAATGGATGAGAAAGAAAAGAATTGTCATACAGGAAGCAGAGGTGGAGAGGAGGACAAAGCACATGAGAAATTTGCAGGTAAGTTTCTGTTCACCTCCTCAGCCCTCAAGTGATTGGGCCAACAATCAGTAAACCTAGATTAAAAGTGAAACGTTTGCCTCCTAACCTCTCTGTGCCCCTGCCAATCTCACCAATAAGACAATTGGTTGAATAGCAACCAACTTGTTTCCCCCCCATAAACTCCAGTGACAAGATTTCCCCACAAAAGTTAACTTTTCTAACTTATTATTGCAGCTATTTTTTCCCCACTTGTTTTTCGAATGGGGCATCTGTTGGGGAGTGGGATTTCTCTTTAATTTGTGAACTTGTCTTTATAGTAACAGCAAATAAATGGGAATTCTGGTAGTACTGTAATTGCTGTTTGATCAGTGAAAGTAGCCTGACTGTGGTTTAACTTGGCACCCATGCAAATCATTTGGGCAGTGCTGAAGTTTAATCTTTTAATTTACAAAGAAGAAATTAAAACCAATGTGATTTCTTCAAGATCCAGCTGTACATTAATACAATCAAAAGAAGGAGGCTTGTGGTAACCATTAAGTTCCAATTTTATCAGATGGCTTCCAGCAAAGTTACAAGTTTGCTTACATCAAGAATTCTGACAGTGTTCAGACTTTATATACATATCTTCAGTCAATACCTTTAAATACGACATTGCTAAAGCATGTGACTAGAAAACAACCATGCTGCAGAAAGGGTAGATTTAAACGCAAATAAAAGGCCTATCACAAATTCATCAGCAGGGCACTGTACTTAGAGCTATAAGGCTCTGTTCACACCTAGGCGACAGTTTTTGTTCGTTTCTACGCTCGTTTTGCTGCATGTCTTTGCATGCATTTTATGCACATATATTAAGTTGCACATTTTTGCAAGCAGATTGACACATTGATGTAAGTACAAGCGTGTGCAAAATGCACACAAAAATGCGCTTTGAGTATTTCCATTAAAATCTATGGGGCCAAGAAGCTCATGTACTTCCCCCCACCCACCCAGAGGCTGTCATTTTGCTACGAGCGAAGAAAAAAAAACAAAAAAAAAACTGTCAGATGTGAACATGGCCATAGACACAATCTGGATTTTGTTTAGTGCTTTTTTTTTTGCCCTAAAGAAAAGCCTAACAAAAACGCTAGGTGTGAACGGAGCCTTAAAGAATTACTCCTAGCAGAAATGTTAACCCTTGCAGGGATGGAGGTAGCTCCACTGCAGGGGTTAAGTGCTCATTTTGGTCTAGGGTGTAAAATACATTACCCGGACCCACCTGGCTGTTAGACCAGTCCCTGCAGCCTTGCTTCCCCTCTGCTCGGTGGTCGAAGGTCCTGCGAGTCATGTCCAATACAGTGTATTTGACGTGAGGACGAAGTGGGACATCCCATCGCCAGAGCGGAGGGGTAGAGAGGCTCTGGGAACCAGTCTAGCAGCCAGCTGGGTCAAAGAATCAGGCAAGTATCACTTAGTTTACACCCTAGACGAAAACAGCCCCTAACCGTTGCAGTGCAGAGGTAGCCCCACTGCAAGGGTCAAGATTATTTCTGCCCGGAGTTCTTTAAAGCCCTGGTTCTCAAATAGTGGGTCACGACCCTGTGTTTAGTGGGTCGCAGCGTGGGGGGTTGCCACCTGTTCGGATGGTTCCACTTCTCTCCGGGCGGAGGCAGCCGCGGGTTTGTAAGGTCTCTAGAATTGTGTAATTATTATGGCTGCGGTCACCCCCCTCTGTGGAATGGTTCGCTCCTCCCCGACTCTCTCCTCATTCAGCCTCCGATGCTGGCGGTGGTCAAATGTGTGTGCACTGCTTCCCCATGGCCACTCCATGGGAGGCAGCTGACTGCAGCATTGAGCTCTGCCTTTTTCCCCTGGGGCTGGTCATGGAGGGCGAGTCCAAGGGAAAATTGTTACTATGGGGAGGGGGTATAATTGTTACTATTGTGGGATGTCATTGGGGGTTGGAGGTGTTGTTGAATGCGGACATATGTGCCCTTCTTCTGTCTGTGTTCTGGGTCGTCAGGCTGTGCACAGGGGGTTCTGGGGCGTGAGGCTGTGCGCAGGGGGTTCTCGGGCGTCAGGCTGTGCGCAGGGGGAATTTATACAATGTGGAATGCTTCACAAGTTGTTTGTGGAATTCTAATGTTTTGGAAATTAAATTATTTTTGGGTCGCGACTTAATGACCAATGACAAATGTGGGTCCTGAGGTTACATAGGTTAAGAACCACTGCTTTAAAGCATATCTAAACCCTCCCACACAAAAAAAGTAAAATATTGCAGTTCACCAGTCTTTAGATCATCGCTGAATGTTTTTTGTTTCAACTGGCCAAGAACATTTTCAGCAAGAAAATAACTTTATATTGCTAGAAATGTCATGTGTTTGTCACTTTGTTAGATTAAAAAAAAGCCTATACATCCCTATAATTGTGTAAACTGCTAGTAAATTAATCCACCATGTAATGGGGATGAACAAAGGCAGACATGAGCAATGCCGCAAAAAGTGTCAAGAAACAGGAAAAGTGTTATGTGCAGGATTACCAAATAAAAAAGGGCAGGTGGGATTCTAACTTAAGAAAACTAACCGAGTAACTTCTTTTAACCACTTCTGGGCCGCAACGACGGCCCGTTAAAGTGGTTAAAAACAAGAACACCCCCGCTGTCTTCCACGGGCACTGCTGTCCCTGTGTGGTGCCCGGGAGCAGCTCGGCTGGTCTCCCCGCAATGATCGGAGAGAGATTCAGCGGCTTACATATCGCAGTGAATGTCGGAGAGCAATAATTCTAGCGTTGTCAATCACTGTTAGCACTAAACTGATGAGCGGTAAAAGCGTTTAAAATGTTCCCTATGGGAAATTTGGGGTATTGACTATTTTTTGCGGCTTCACGGGCGAACGCAATTTTAAGGCTTGACATGTTTGGTATCCATTTACCCAACGTGATCCCGTCTTTCATATTATACCACAAAGTTGGGTATTATGTATGTGCACTAAATTTTAATTATTTTTTTCCTAAAAATACTGGTTTGATAAACATTTGCGCAAAAAACGTGCAACGTAAAAAATTGCAACTAACATTTTTTTTTTAATTCTGCAGGGCCTCTGCTTTCGGAACATATATAATTGTTTGGGGGTCTGAAGCGGTTTTCTAGCCAAAAATTTATATTTTATCATCATGTGTGCGCAAATAGTAAGAAAATGCCTCGGACAGCAAGTGGTTAAGGACTGGTAAGCCGCAAAATATAAAATTTGTTTTTGGCTTGGAAACAATTTAATGGTAAAAAACAATTCTTTATCAACTGCCACATAAGTATTAGAAATGTTTGGGAGAGAGTATAGTAGAATTTTAAAGTACTATTGCCCCAAATAGGGAGACAAATCCAAGGAAATAGTTTTAGAGCAAAAAACTTTAAAGGGTTTTTCAGAGACAACTGAAAATTTTCATTATGCTTCTAAACCCTACTGTGCAACAAAGGTCAAATGGCATACTGAGCCCCTTTACAAAGGATGGACTTTAGTCAACCAAAATAAAGTAAACTAGAAGGCAAAGGGCATATTGCTATACAATAGTGTAGGTGGCAAAGTACTCCAAATATAAGAATGGTCAGAAGCATGATCAAAATTTCAGTTAAAGCTGGGGAGCCTTTTATTAATGAAGGGGAAATATAACCACATGTAAATTACTATATAACAAAAAGCTTTCTTATTTCCAAAACCAAAATTTCATGGCTTTTTAGCCAGTATTGTAAAAGCGAGACTAAAAAGGGAAAACACACAAAGACAAACATCTTAGTAATGCAGACATAGTAAAAATGTGCATGGCTTTATTCAAAACAGGTGATGGAACCACCAAATGACCACTCCATAAAATAGTATCACCTTCAGCTGGATTAAAAAAAAAAAAATTAAAAAGGAAAATAAGCGCATATGATGCTCTTAAAACAAATCAAAGACAGTTGGAGGTGAATAAGTCAAGCAATAGCCTCATGTTCTATACCCCATCTGTCTTTTTGTACTTTTGGTTTTTTTTGTTGTTTTTTTTTTAATAAAATCTCCCCAAATCGCCCTTACAGCCTCCCCCAACCCACCCAAAACACAAGGTTTAGTCTTCTGTAGACTGAGCTTCTTCATCTGATGCTTCGTCATCAGATTTCTCCGGCTGAGGGCTTGCAGTTTTCTTCTCTGGTGGTGGTGTCTCTGGTTCATCATCATCATCATCTTCCTCCTCTTCTGGTTTAGGTGATGGAGACTTCTCCTTGGATGCCTTTGAGGCCGCAGGTCGGCTCTTTCCTTTGGCCTTTGCTGGACTGGGGGTTACTGTAAACAAATTTATTTTTATTTTAGAGATTTTTTAAAGTGAAGACAGGCAATGCTTGTTTTTTTGCATGCATATAAACTCCCACTATCTAGTGCTGCATGATGTAAGTAAATCACCATTGGTAGGTGGTTTTAAAAGGAATGTATTGAATACATACATTTATGTCAATTAATAAATCTTTAAAACAATTTCTTGTGAAAGGGTTCTGGGGCGTCTAAGCAACTCAAGCTTAAAGCCCGTCACAGACCATTAAGACTTTCAAAAATGTCCACCATGCTCTGCAAACAAAGTGTCATGGAAGGGAAACAAACTCACAAATGAAAAAAATAAATAAATCTGCTATCAGCCACACACAGTTATACATTTAAATACAAAGCTTTAAAATAAAAAAAATGTCAGAGGTTAAAATTGTAAAAACCCAAACCATTGTTTCCCCGTCAACACAGCAGTGACTGGCGGTTTTCCACACTGGATCCCTGCTAGGGCATATAAGGCAACAAATTGTTTTCTATGTGCCCCATTCACACCACAAATGCAAGTGTGATGTGTAGCAGGGCTGTGGCAAGATGCAGACCGATCAAATTTCCCCACATGTACACTGCTGCCATGTGGAAACAAATGCAGTGTAGACTTCAAATGAAGAAAAAAGTGTGCCTTGTCGCAACAAGGCACCACAGCTCACCGCTGGCACTCAGCAGAGACTAGGTGTTAAACCTCATTTGCGGGTATCTCGAGATCAGATTATTAACCACTTCAAGACCAGGTGTTTAGACCCCCTTCCTGGTCAGGCCATTTTTCAGTATTCAGCGCTGCCGTACTTTGACTGACGTTTATTCCGTCATGCAACGCTGTACTGAGATGAATTTTATACCATTTTTTGGGGACAGATAGAGCTTTCTTTTGGGGGTATTTAATCACCACTGGGGGTTTTATTTTTTATTATAATTAGGAAAAATTACTGAAAATTTTGAAAAAAAAACGTTTTTTGTAACATTGTTAGGAAACATTTATTATTACCCAGTTTTTTGGTCAAATATTAAAGATCAGGTCACGTCGGTTAAATAGACACCAAACATGTCAAGCTTTAAAATTGCGCGCACCCGCGACATCGCAGAAAACTACGGCAACCAAAATTGGCCATAGGCGACACTTTAAACGTTTTTACCGCTCATCAGTTTAGTGTTATCAGTGATTGATGGCCCTAGACTTATTGCTCTCACTGCGACGTTCGCGGCGATATGTAACATGTGCGGCGTAATGGGCGCAATCGTCTTTTTTGCACGTATGCGCCCCCGACGCATGTTTGCATGCGTGTATGTATGGGTGGGGACTTTAAAAAATTTTTTTTTTCTTTAATTATTTTTTATGTGTAACTTAAAATTTTTTTGGGGGGGGGACTTAAATTTTTTTTTCTTTTCACTAAACTTTATCGCTATCACATACGGGGGCTAATAAAACCCCCCTATGTGATAGCAAAATATGTGACAGGTCCTCTTTATGGAGACATCAGGGGTCTCCAAGACCCCTAATGTCACCTAGGACCCCCCAAAAGAAGCTGATGAAGCAGAGATCTGCTCCATCAGCTTCTTTGCAGCTTCTGAAGCTGGAGAGTGACACAAGAATGCGGAAGTGATGTATTATACAACACTTCCGCATTCTTTCAGAGGAGAGGGGACCGGAGGGAGCTCGTGTACCGAGCTCTCTCTGATCCCCTGTGTCACAGCCGACATGCTGATCCCGGGCTCGCACCGGGCACAGCGGAGCTTGGGATCAGCGGGACAACAGCGGGAGGGGACCGCGGAGAGGGGGACACACCCGATCGGCACCCCATACATGCGATCGGCCGGCTCTACAGCCGGCGGATCGCATGTATATTAACGGGCATCGCTGCCCGTTTTTAAATTCCGTCCATTTCCTGCTCAGGGAAATGTCTGATTCAGCGTCTCAGCTACAGCTCGCGGTATACCGAGCCTAGGGTGACGGGAGGACGCTAGTTTGTGTCCTCCTGTTACCATAAGGAGAACTATGGGGAAACGCCTTAACCTCATAATTCTCCTTTAACCCATCAAATGCCAAGTCCAAAATCTACCATTTAATTGTGTACACTCCACACAGGAAAATCTGTTGAAACAGGCTTCAACGTCATAAACAGACACCTTAAGGCTGGGTTCACACCTGGGCGTACGGAATATGCGCGTTTGCTGCAGCGCTTTGCGGTAAAAGAAGCGCGTGACAAACGTGCATTTACGAGGGCTATCCGGCTGTATCCTAATGGATACGCGCGGAAAAAAATATGCCCCAAAGAAGCTCCTGTACTTTGGGCATTCCTACGCGCTGAAATACGCCCAGGTAGGAACCATGCCCATAGGCAATTATTGGTTTTCACATGCTGAGCGTTTTACAGTGCGTCGACCAGCGCTGTAAAAACACCCAGGTGTGAACCAGGCCTAAGTAAATTTATGGTCATTATCTGCTTTACATCTCACACACACACACACACCTAAAGCAGTTATACCAAGACCACGGCTGCTGCAGCTGTGATCTTGATATAATTGTTTACAGCTAGAGATGGCTGTTTACATACAAGTGCTTGTATGGTTCTGGGGAGTATGCACCGCACCACAACCCCCCACCACTGCTTATTGTAGGCTGTGCTATCCCCTGTGTGGGCCCAGCATAGTGGGCCTCCCATTGATCACTGAAAGCAAAAGGGATGTATATTATAACACTTCTGATTTCAGTGTGCCATTACACTGGCTGCTGTAGCCCAAGAAGAATCTGATGAAGCACAATCTATGCTTTCCTTTCCAAACCTTAACTGAACAAACTGAAGAGATAAGCTGAGGTTGCCATGGGCAACTGCTCCAGATATGATAAATTCCCCCTTGCCCATTGTTTTATGAAAAAATTGGGTATTTTTATTCAGTTTGTTTCTAAAAGCTTAGAAATGCCTGTTTTACACTAGAACAGCGGTCGCCAATTGGTGGTCCGCAAGAAAATTTTGGTGGTCCCCGGGCTCCTTTGATGCCGTGCAGGCTGGGCCGTCATTGAAGCGGCACGGAGGCTCCGGGGCTCCCTTTCACTGACTCAAGCAGCGGCTGTCACAAGGAATGCGCGGCTGTCAGTACAGTGCGGGCTCTGCAGAAGATGAGGCATCTAGTCAGTACCCGGAATGAGCAGGCTGTGGATATGTGGAATATAACATGGGTGCAAAAATTGAAAAAAGGGCCTCAGTCATGAAGGGGTTAAAGAAAATAGAAATCTGTGCTTTCAGGGGCACATTAGAAACACATGTATTTTAAAAGGCAGGAGAACGTATCTAGGAAGTATTAAGTGGAACCCCTTCCACTAAAAATCAGCAAGGAGCTCGGATATGAAATAGTGTTATAATTAATGTTTTTCCACTTCCTGATCCTTTGAAGCATTAGTAAAGTATTTCGGGCCTAAGAGATGTATCCTGGGAAAGTTACATCACAGTGCATTGCTGGGAAATCTCATTTGCAAACTGAAAATCTTGCAAGATCTCAAGGGAAAGGCAATTTTATCCTCTTCCGCTGATTCCAGCGTCATATGTTCCAGGAGGCAGACCCAGAAAACCAGGAAGTAAAAGGAGATAGATTAATCTGCCGTTAGTGACAATGGGCACTGGGAGAAACATTTATCTAGAAGCATCTGTATGTAGATTACCATTACTAAATATTTCGAAAAGTGCCCTTGTCATCATTTTAAAGATAAGGATGAAGTTCCTCTAAGCTTGTTTTAGTTAAAATCTGGGAAGTATAACCAAATGCAGGAGGCTTGTGTCAATGATGGCTTAGCCCAGGAATCGTCCCGCACGTACATCCAGCCCTGCACGTCGGATGGGATGGATCCTGTCTGCGTCCGAGCCAGGAAACGCACATCCCTACAGACCTGCACTTGAGGTGAGCGTACGTTTGCGTAGTCCCATCGAGGATGGGGGCTGCGTACTAACGACACGCAGCACCTGTCCTTCCCGGGAGCTGCTCTGTACGGCCCTGCACAAATGAGGGCTAATAGAAAAGAGCCAAGATGTCAATGTTGTGAACTTTGAAAATTAAAACTTTTAAAAATACAGGAGGTAAAAAATGATTTACTGCTTGTCCAGAATATTTAAACATTGTAGTGTGCATGACCTCAGCACAGGTTCACGTACGATGCAGACCTTTGTAGTGTGTTATTGCACACATTAACATGCATGTCATACACTAAATTGCAATACTGCGAAACAGCCGATTCTTAATTTTCAGGCTTTAACACAACTGACCTGCACCTTTTTTCCAGCACACCACATATGTGCATTGTGATGCATTAAAAAGTAGGTCAATTTTAAATGAATGGCACTGCAATGCATCATGGTTCACACATTACTGTAAATTAAAGATGTAAACCCAGGATTAGGGTACAATATTTCTTAATTTCTATTATACTACAGCACACCATTAACTAGCGGAAAATGCAGGCTGTTCAATGCACAAATGTTACATGGCTGTGTAAACTCGGAATACATCTACTCGCTCAGTTTTATTAAAGTTCACAGCTCATTTGTCATATGTCACCACCATATAAAATATGGCAAAAATGTCCATTTAAATCACTCATTTACAAAGAGTTAACACTAACCTGTAGCCTTTAGTCGGGGCTTAGGTACTTTTTTCTCTCTCGCCTCAGGTTTAGATTTTTTCACCATTTTTTTCTTCTTCTTCGATCGACCATAGTCACTGTCATCATCATCTTCAACCATGAAATCCTCATCACTCCCCGAATCTTCTAAGGTAACCAGATATGAATACATATTTAGTGCAAATGCTCTGGTGCTTATCTGACATAGTTACATAGTCAGGCTGAAAAAAGACACATGTCCATCAAGTTCAACCTACAGAAATATGAAAAATAAATATCGGTACTCTTACTAGATACCGAAAAACTGGCATTGGTGCATCTGTCATTAAGAATTAACTCCTGAGTTTAGTGTCACTTTAAAGCACAAGTCCAGTCTCTGAAGATGCAATCTATGAGTTTAGAAAGTAACCTCTTAGATGCCTGCTCTGCGCCCTGTGCACTACAAACTCTAGTTGGGTTGTTTCACATCAGTTTGAAGCTGGCAATTTTGTATGGATTAAATGAAACTGGTCCTCTGCTTCATGTAATGCAACTTAAGGTGCCCATACACCTTACAATTATCTGCAGATTTTCTGTGGTCAGATGGAAAAGGTGCAACAGATTCCTCCACCTACACTTAACTGTAATCTCCACCTGGGCCAATCTGTTGCACTTTTTCCATCTGGCCACAGAAAATCTGCAGATAATTGTAAGGTGTATGGGCACCTTAAGTTGCATAAAAAGACACATGTCCATCAAGTTCAACCTACAGAAATATGAAAAATAAATATCGGTACTCTTACTAGATACCGAAAAACTGGCATTGGTGCATCTGTCATTAAGAATTAACTCCTGAGTTTAGTGTCACTTTAAAGCACAAGTCCAGTCTCTGAAGATGCAATCTATGAGTTTAGAAAGTAACCTCTTAGATGCCTGCTCTGCGCCCTGTGCACTACAAACTCTAGTTGGGTTGTTTCACATCAGTTTGAAGCTGGCAATTTTGTATGGATTAAATGAAACTGGTCCTCTGCTTCATGTAATGCAACTTAAGGTGCCCATACACCTTACAATTATCTGCAGATTTTCTGTGGTCAGATGGAAAAGGTGCAACAGATTCCTCCACCTACACTTAACTGTAATCTCCACCTGGGCCAATCTGTTGCACTTTTTCCATCTGGCCACAGAAAATCTGCAGATAATTGTAAGGTGTATGGGCACCTTAAGTTGCATTACATGAAGCAGAGGACCAGTTTCATTTAATCCATACAAATCCAAGGTCTGGAACCCCATTCTTGACCAAATTGTGGCTCAGTGAATTGAAACACTCACCTTTATCGCGAACAAAGGGTCTGTCCAGCTTGCTTTTAATCTTTGTAAATAAAAGGCAACAAGAGATGAAGAAACACCTCCGACAGTTTAGGCTTGCAGAAACCCAGACTTTTCACCTTGCTTGATGGAGCATACTCCAACGAGTTGCTGCCTAGTTGCCTCATTATGCAATGAACCGGTTTGTGTTTAGAGAGAATTAAGCAAGCAATGGAAGGATGCTCTGGGTATCTTAATTACTAAGAGCATGTAGGGATTGGGCTTCCGAAAACTTAGTAAGGATTAGCATGGAGCGTTTAGCACCCCTGGGGATGGGAGAGCAGGGCGCTTAGTTTATCAGCAGCTAGGACATGCCACAAGTTAGGCAAGACGTGACAAAGGCCTTCATCGCAAACGAGGAATATGCAATAAGAAAATTAGATTTCAGCACCCCACAGGGCTAAAAAGGTCTAAGACAGGTCAAACATAATGCTAGAGACACAACATTCAATAAAAGGAAGATTGTGCTATAGGTTTGCCTGCCAGGAACTGCCACTCGTAAATTAATTAACCCTTTCCCTGCCACCGCCGTAAGGCATACGGCAGAGCAAAACTGTTCCCAGCGGGCCAGGTCAGTATGCCTTACAGCGGTGGCATTTACAGTTCTGCTATAAGCTCACGGTCGCTTAAGCGATCATGAACTTATAGTAGAGCTGCTCCCTGGACTGTTCCCTTTAAATTAATAGCTGTCATCAGCGGTTTACAAGCACTACCTACATGGTTGATATCTTCTCAAACCATGAACATAACCAAAACATTTGCAGCAATAGCTCCTTCTGGTGGCCAATCTACAAATCACAACATTAACAGTAAGCTTGTAAAAATGTGAAAGTCAAACAAATTAAGGTCAATTCTGCAGCCAATCAACAAGCAGTCTCTGAAAATACACTATAGTTTCCTCCCCAAAAAAACATGGTCAGATCAAGGAGAGGTATAGTATCAAATACTGACAAAAGTGAACATCACTGAACAAGTAAACAAAACTAGTAAAAAAAAAAGAAGATTATAAAATCATTGGTATGACAGGCAAAGGCCAAGTATTTTCTCCGCGTTGGGTCCCGTCCTATTCAGCGCACTTTTTCTCCCCTAAAGTTGATGCTTTGGTTCATCTTAATGCACACTAATGCTCCTAAACTCACTTTCCAAAAACTGTGCTTCCTCTTCATCTTCCTGCTCTTCATCTTCGCTTCCACCATCACCCATCAACATCTCTCTCTGCTTGGAAGCAGCCTTGGATGCAGCTTGTCTTTGCTGGCGTACATTTTTACGTTGTTCCTTTTCATCGTCACTGCCACCTAAAACAAAAAGTGTTACCGCTAAAAAAGTGCACTCCGTCAGGAGAATATTAAAAAAAAAAAAAAACACCACATGCTAGTGCAATGATATAGATAAATGGGAACAAAGCATTAAAACCCAATTTAACAGTTAATCTGTTTTTAAAAGAAAAAAAGTTTTTTTTATACTTCCATTGGGGAATTAGAGAACACATACACATGTGTACACACACACACACACACACACACACACACGGTTTGAAAAATTTTAGGGTGTCTCACCAGTCAGTCAAAAATGTCACCAGTACTCGCACTTCAATTGTCCCACAAAGCATCCCACTGCTCCAACCACTGGGAACTTCTACAAAAAAAACTGTACATAGGTGGTACCACACTCCATACAAACTGTTGAAATTCTCTAACTCCAACTCTCTGCTCCGCTGGAGACTATGTGGAAGTATTGGGTCACTCTCACACATTCTTTGGCATTGTAGGTCATCCGGAGGTTTTGGAACGAAGTCTTTCGTATAATCTCCCATTTTACCCCATCGCCTATCTCCCCATGTCCAGAACTCGCCATCCTACATATCGACATTGATAATTTCCTACCTGATATTCGCACTATCATACATATCCTATATGCAGCCAAATTGTTAATTACTCGGAGATGGTTACAACCAACTCCCCCAAACATCAGAGACCTGATTATGCTGATTAATACCCAATACTCCTATGAGAAAATGTTTGCAATGAAGAGTAACACTTATCCTGCATTCTTTTCGGCATGGAAAAATGGATTATACACCCCTATTGCAATGTCTGATTTCCTCTATTTGAAAGTACACAACTGGTACATACTTTACCCCTATTTGTCTTCTCTCCCCTCTACCCCCCTCATGTTTCCCCCTTCCAAGTTTATTAGAAAGAAATACGTATTGAATACTTAGCTTGATACGGCATAATAATCTATGTATGTTTCTTTTACTGTTAACACTACTGACTGGTTAATGTTTCATACACCGGTGAGTATTTTTATTACCAAATGTCATCTTGCTGTATTACATGACTTGACTTTAATAAAGAAATATTGAGATGGAAAAATGTCACCAGTCAGCATGACTGGACAATAGCCTTGCAATTTATGTTAACATTTTTTGGGGGGACAAATACAGCTTTCTTTTGGAGGTATATAATCACCACCGGGGGGGGTTACTATATAATGAAAAAAGTACCGTAAATGTAAAAAAAAAACCAAAGTTATATACATTTATTCTTACCCATATTTTTGGTAAAGCATAAAAGTCGGGGTCATGTCGGATAAATAGACAACAAACATGTCAAGCCTTAAAATTGCGTGCGCCCGCAAAATTGCAAAAAACACCCATAGGCGATGCTTAAAACGCTTTTACTGCTCATCAGTTTAGTGTCATCAGTGATTAATGGCTCTAAAATTATTGATCTCACTCCCAGACGTTTGTGGCTATATGTAACTTGTGCGGCACAATAGTCGCTTTTGCACGTAGGCGCAATAGTCGTTTTTGCACGTACTCATATCTGCATGTGGGGGGCGGGGACTTTAAAAAAATTTGTTTTCTTTTATAATTTTTTATGCTTCTTTAATTTTTTTATTACTTTTTTTTTTTTTTTACACAACTTTATTGCTATTACATGGGGGCTAAGAAGCCCCCCTATGTGATAGCCAATTTACATGACAGGTCCTCTTTATGGAGACATCAGGGGTCTCCAAGACCCCTAAGGTCACCTAGGGACCCCCAGAGAAGCTGATGAAGCAGAGGTCTGCTTCATCAGCTTCTGTAGCTGGAGAGTGACACTGAATGCAGGAAGTGATATGGATCTCCCTTTGATCTCCTGTCACAGAGCCGTGCCGGTCCAGGCCGCATCGGATCTCGGTAGCGGCAACGACAGCTGCTAATACAAGCGATCAAGCGTCTCTAGAGATGCCCGATCGCTTCAATGCAAAACTCCTGGCCGGCCAATTAAAACCGCCGGCCGTGTAATTAAAACAGCCGGCCGTGAAGCTGCTCATCGGGCCCCACCGTCCCCTCGTCGCGGACGAGTGGATTTTTCAAGCCCTGTATATACACACTATATATATATATACACATATATATACACACATTAATTCATAATACCCAATAAGATTCCAGCTATATATCCAGTTATAGCTCAAAGCAAATTCACCATGCTATTGTGTGTAGCACACCTTCCAAGGATTATTTGGTATTTAGTGTTGCCCCTCTTAAAAAGCAAAGCAAAATAGAGTGTTGATACTGTGTACTATAAAGGAAATTTGATTTAACCTGGTTTAAAAAAAAATGAACCATTCTTCACAACACACAGTGCACTATTAACTACATTACTGTACTCACCACAAAGTTAATATACATACCTTTCATTTATGGAAAAAATATACGGGGGCGAGCGAAAGAGAGAGAGAGGGGCGAGCGAAAGAGAGAGAGAGGAGCGAGCGAGAGAGAGGGGCGAGCGAAAGAGAGAGAGAGGGGCGAGCGAAAGAACGCAAACGCGAGAGCACTTTTTCCCTCCACAACAGCAGTAATGGCTAAAAACAGTTTGCAGTTCTGTTTTAAATGACATAAAAATCTAATTTAGCCTAGGCACTTTGTCATGTGACCTCTTGCTGAAATTGAAGACCAGCCATTATTCTCAGCAAGATTGTTAATAACATTAGGTTTACATCTGAAGTGGAAACATTTCACATGAACGGGTTTCAGAACATTTGATACCTGCAGCAGATCTTTTTCTAGGTTTGGAAGACCGCTTCTTCTCTGGTGTCGTTTTTTTGCCCTTTTTGCTTTTTTTAGGACTTTCATAGTCACTGTCAGCTTTTCCATCTCCAGTTGCCAAGTCATCATCACTGCCAAAGTCATCATCTGGAACAAAATCACATTTTAACTAAGATTACATTTTAACATACAAAAACAAAACAATAAGACTTATAGAACAGATTAACACCCTTGTGTTGGCAGACTCGACGCATGTTTGCTTGTGCATGTGTGGGGGCGGGGGAATTTTTTTTTTATTGCTTTGATATGCAAGACTTCATTTTTTTTTATAACTAATTTTTTTAAACCTTTTTTTTTTCACTTAACTTTATTGCTATCACATAGGGAGCTAACAAGCTCCCTATGTGATAGCAAATTCGCAGTGACAGGTCCTCTTTATGAAGACATCAGGGGTCTTTAAGACCCCTAATGTCAACTAGGGACCCCCAGAGAAGCTGCTGAAGCAGAGACCTGCTTCACCAACTTCTCTCCGGTTTCTGTACCGGAGAGCGACAGAGGAATGCGGAAGTGATGTAATACACATCACTTCCTGCATTCCGACGAGGCGATCAAAAAGAGATCGTGTATTGGTCTCCGGTCACAGAGCTGCTGTGCTGGTCCCAGGCTCACACCGGGAACAGCGGCGCTTGGGACCGCCAGCAGCAGCTACGACGTAGGGGGCGCACCCCCCCACGCATATTACAAACGATCGGGCGTCTTTACAGACGCCCGAACGCTTGTATGTAAACAGCCATCGCTGGCTGTTTACATTCAAAGCAGATTTCTCGTTTGTGCGCGCCGCCTAGCGGCGGGCATGAGCTGGGCGGGATGGACGTTTAAAACATGCATTCAAGAAGCTGCTGTCTGGCCGTTTAATTACAACGGCCGGACAGCAGGTGGTTAAATAAACACACATACATAGCAATAATTTTTAAAAGGCACAGTGGCTGGCACAGATTTATGTGGTCCTGTCACTTTACCAGAGCTTCCTGATACAGGAAGTATTGGGCTAGACATTGGAGCATTTGGGCGAGTACGAGTACTCGCCCAAATATTCGGTATCGGCACCGATATCGGGGCATCCCTAGTTCACACTGTTGTGATTAATTTACCTGTGTTCTGTGCATTAAGGTTGCATATTCGGGCTAACATGCAAAGAAAGGGACATGCACTATTTTTTGTAACGCAGTGCACCACAAGGCATGGTAGTGCACTGCATTGGGGATGCTGTTAAGAATGAATGGCACCATAACGTACCTTCCCTCACCTTCCGTGGCTAAATGGCTAAAGACAGCTCCTGTCAGTCACAATAATTGATACATGAAAGATGAAAAAGTAAATAAAAAGGTGGGATCTTTAAACAGGTCTAACTGGGTTTTAATACAATTACACAAATTGCATACCAGTTAAACATTACCATTTTCCTGCAGGAAAAAAAAAAAAAGCAAAGACTGGCGTAGGTTTGCCTAAAGTCAAAATACGTTTTAAACACATGTATAGATTTCCATTAGAACAGAGCCAAGCAAATTTTTTTACCTCCTGATTTACGCTCTTCTTTTTTGGTTTTCTTCACATCTTTTTCATCAGATTCTTCACTAAAAAACAAAAAGGGGTCAGAGACAAGTTAAAACACAATTACGGTATACACTCCCTGTATGAGAGGCTACCGATTCCCATATGTATAATTGTTTATTTTACAGACTAAACATTGACTTCTATATATAGACTCATGTACAGCCATAGGGCGTACATATAACGCTGCCCAGGGGTCACAGGTGTGCCATACAGCTGTGTTAAGCCAGCCTTTTCAAAAAAAAAAAAGAGACAAGCTGGCTGAACCCATGGCTGTACAGGTATAATGCAAATCCCATGGTTTTCATCTTACCAAGATTTATGCACTGCCGAACGTAGAGGTTGAGAGTTCAGGTCAATGCATATAAACAATGGAATTTTTTTACATATATACCCATACATCCTCTGCTTCAGCCAGCCTGTCATTCATTTGCACAAATGAACCCTCATACCACGATTGAAAAGGTCACCAGCTGAGGGGATCCAGAAGTCAAAGCCTTGTCAACAGGAAAGCCAGTGTGCTCAATAAGGGGTACCGTCCATGGGAAAGAGATCCCAGACCTTCTGTGAGAAGGTCCTGTAGCACTCAATTGTCCAAAGGAGGTCCGGTCAGATGAGGCAGGAACAGACTTTTCTCTTGAATATGGCGACGATAATGACAGATGAGCATTCCCAGTGACAGGAAGGCAAATTAATCTTCCAGCCAGAGTCTGCAACGTAACGTCCAGCGTTCTTGATCAAAGGTTTTTAGGTCTTCCCTAATGTCCAGACACCCCAACATTGAAAGGAGGCTAAAAGTGACTGAGCGCAAAATAAATAAAGGGAGAAGACGACACTAGAAGGGGAATCCATAGACATCACCACAAGAGAGCAAAAGTCTATCAGAAGGGGGCCTCTTTACTTAAACTTAACCAAAACCCCCCACCCATAAATATTAGTGGTAAACGCCATCTGCAAGTGAGGCCTACAGATTTATGGGTGAGCATAAGGACCTGGGACTTTGGTCTGCTGCAGACGGCAATCCCCTTGTCCAGAGACAGTAGTAAATCTATCCCCGCTGGACAGTGTCCCTCTAAAGTTCTGGTGTGCAAATGGTTCCACCTCAAAGGGTGAAACCATGAGTCCCAGTACCCAAATACATCTCTCCAAAAGATCAGGATCAGGCCCAAGTACTCCAGATATTGAATCAAGAGTCAGGATTTCCCAGGCAGCCAAACCCTTCAGTGAGCAGAGAGTGGTCATAAGACTGGCCTTCTGGTCTTGGACAACTAGATTATGTTGAGATAAAAAAAAAAAAAGGTCTCCTGTTCTCCGCTATTGAAGAAGTACACAAGCTGAAAATGGTAAACTCCTGCAGAAAAAAAACCAAAACGAAAATACAAGAAAAAAAACAAAACAGTGGCACCAAGGAAAATTAGAAAATGAAGATGTGTCATTGCCTGAGAAACCCAAGGAGAGGGCAACAGTGGCACTGGCCCAAGCATAGAACAAGCAACAGCTGAAATCGGATCCCATTCTTCCTACAAGTTAAGCAGAGCCCGCAACAAAAATTACAGTTTACTTGCCAAGGTGTAACAGCAGACCCATTGAGAAAGAAAGGGATGAAGGGTGTTAAAAAAACAAAAACCCAAAACCAGAAAGGCCATTTTTCACACTTTGTAAAAAAGTGTCGATTCTTAATACCCTCGTCAGGATCCAGAATAACCACTGAACCCTTGTAGACACGCGCTGGGTTCTTCCGCTCCAAAGTTCTCAAATCTCTGTTTGGATAAGGCTGT